AAGGACAGGACCAGGCCTAGGACTATGTAGAGCTACGAAGATTCCCTAGTTTCCCCACAGGGGGAAACCCACCGTGCTAGGACTGACAATGGATGGGATTCCGGAGAATAGTGAAGTGCTAGAAGACTGACGATATTCGCCAGTGGGCCTATGGCCGAAGTAAGTCGTGACTCTGGGCTGCACCTGGGCTGATGTACCTCTCTCTCTCTAAAGTGTATTACCATGCAAGTAACAAGAATTGTGCCGTCATCCCACCCGGGGGTGGCTGAAACGTATACTTTGTTCTGTTCTACCTTCAAGTAAAATCAACAAAAAGACTATCTGTGTGGACTGGTTCTTCTCCCTCCAACCTTTGAAAAGGTGGGGTTCAACCGGAGTGTGATGTTGGACTGTATCGTGGCTGTAACCATCTGAGGAGGGTAGGTGCGCAATGGGGCAATGCCTGACACAGGGTGCCGTTCATGGTGGCCTTTCTCCCTAAGGGGGAGGAAGCGCCGAAGGCCGCAGAGGCGGTTGAAGCCATGAGGCCCTGTGTACGCAGTACTACACGTGAGGGAGTGTTTGCACGAGGCCAAGGCCGTGGCCCCTGACCGTGGGGTGTCTGGTTTCAAGTTGCGTGCACGGGGTTACCCAGCCAACCCAAAGGGAACACACACGCAACACCCCCAAGAGTGAACCCCGCCTACAAGCAGCCCGCACTGCGTTCCATTGCAGTGCAACTTGGGTCACGACTTAATGACCAAGGACAAATGTGGGTCTTGAGGTTACACAGGTCTAGTCTGATTTCACTGCACACCATGAGCTTCCCACAATGTGAAGCTGGAGCCCCCTTCATTTCCTGGGTAGGGAAGGTCCAACAACATCTAGCTTTATCTTCCCCAGGCTGACTGTCCCTGGCCCTCCATTTTCATTCAATGGATTTCAGTTCTTTCAATTCTGGCAGTTCAGGATCACATGTGGGTGGTTTGTATCCAAATACAGCCTACCTAGGTACACCCACTCTTTGAGATGGACATCAACCCATCAAGGAATTTTGATATTTGCAAATCTCTTCCTAAGATCCAGCCCACTGCTTATGTCAGGGCTGAGGGCTCTTGAAAGGAGTACTGAGGTGTTTTCAAGAAGCTGTGTACAACACCCTGCCAGCCCTCACATCAGCCCTGATGTAAGGTCTCAAATAAAGTAATGAGAAGGGAAATCTATTTTTTTTATATCTCATTAGTATGTTGATTAGGGGGGAAAGGATGAACCAGGGAAGGGAAAATACAAGCAGATTAAACATCAGCTTTAGGGCCTCTGGAACGCACTGGAATGCAACCCGGCCGGCTTCCTGCATTCTGGGGGGGGGGTTATGACGGCCCATTGAAGGCAAAAATGCTGCATGTACTATTTTCGCAGATCACACTAGACTGGAACGCAGGCACTAATGTGCCAGGCGTTTGGGTGCCGGCAATCCACTGCGGGCAGGTGAATGCTCAGCTGTTAAATTATTTTATTTTTTTAGTTTTCATTTTAGTTTATTTAACTTTATTTTGTTAAACTTTAAAAAAAATGTTTTAAATTCATTGCTGGCAGCAATAGCCAACCTGCTATTGGATATTGCAATAGCCAATCACAGTACCCACCCCACAGCACCCTCAGGCAGCCGCTTGTGCTGCCTTACACTAGCGCTGGCACTGCACCTCTATGTACACACATAGATCTAAATGGACCCTGAGAGTTCAGTGACAGGAGGAGAGTGATAGGTGGTTCATCAGGTGCTGACACTCCTTTTATTGTTGCTCTATTATTACCTTATCAGCAGGTTGATGGGTCCTTGACCAAGCTGTACGATTTAACAGGCGTGGCAGGGGTGCCTGTATCACAAGTCTGGCTGAACAGAATTGCAAGTCCAAAAAGCTGGTACATTTGCCTGGAGCTCTGCTTTAATTCAGCTTTATTTTATATTTTAGTAAAAAACATTTTACTCAAAACAAACCTATTAGTTTCTTCATATTTACAAGCACACCAGTTTTGTTTTGAAAACAGGAAAACACATTTAGAAGGCACTGCCAACACATTTACCTACTTAAGGGCATACTCAAGTAATTTACGTTAATTTGACAGATACGAGGAGGTACTTATGCGATATCTGCAGTTTAGAGAGTACAAAATACAGAACACTGTTATATCTAGCTGGAAAACATGGAGTCCATGTTCACATATGTGTGATATTTGTATCTGCCATGTGTAGTGTGACAGCGCATGACAAGAGGAATTCCATTTTTTCCTATGGTGCCAATTGTCCAATTGGGTGCAATTTTCTTTTGTCCGTTTTTTGGAAATGCAGAATGTCCTACTTTTGGTGTGACTTGGTGCTATTTTGGACCTATAGACATTAATCAAATCATGTCAAACACACATATGCATGTGTTTTTTATGCATTTTGTTGCCATAACAGCTGCAACTTCTACAAAGGCTGCAGGGGAGATGGAGACACAAGGGCACAGAATGCTACATGTTGAAGTCTTCATCTGCCTGGTCAGAGTAATCACTGGATAGACCCAGTATCTTCACTTATTTTTCTCCCATAATGGGAGCAGTAGCATCAGTTGCTGTCATAAACATTGGCATAGTGGCCATGGCACGAGACTACAGCACAATTAGCCAGGCAAACAGCGGACAGAGGGAGCTCGACGTCTAATGATGTCACAGGAGATATTGCTTGTCTTTGGCCTAATAAAAAAAAACCATGACGTATGAAAAACACATAAAAAGCACACCACAAAAATGCATAAAAATTACATGTATACCTAGCCAGAGGAGTGTCTGCTGTGCTTGAGAGGTCAATGTATGTGGCACTTGTGCTGCCATTTAACTCCTTCATGACCGAGTCTCTTTGGGCTTATTACGGTTAGGGTTAGTTGACAAGAGCAATTTTTAGGAACTGCTTGTTTATATCTGTAAAAAATAAGTCAAGGCAACTGGGTTTGGAGACTGCGGCCTTTGAAGATGTTTCACTTGTCATTCAACCAGCTTTCTCAATTCAGAATGACTTGAACAAAAAATTATCTGGGAATAAATATGGTGAATGTTCCTCCAATCCACATAAGCTGTTAGTGGCAACCAGGTGTTGATGCATTTGCATAATTGGAGCTAGGAGGTGTTATTAACCTGCCCTGAGAGAGGTGTTAAAACAGAATTGTATGTGGCAGACAATAGATGTCTCACCCCCCCCCCCCCCTCCCCCCCTTTTTCAAGCTTTTGTTTCCTTTTTTTT